TTGCAGATTCGTAAGCAAAATTAATGTTAATATTTTAAGCCACTAAGTTTGGGGGTAGTTAATTATGCAGTGCTGGAAAACTAGAATATGCTGTTTGTGTGACATTCTGAATTGCCATTGATCTTCAAATCCATTAATTTAGTGCTGAGTCAACAAGGAGGTGGTGTTATTTGCAGAAAGGCAATTGGGTGGGTTGGGCTGATAAGGGAAGAGAAGACTTGGTGAAGCTATTGGAAGAATATGAATGAAAGATGAATGAGGAGATCTGGGGACACAGTGAAGGACACAGTGAAGACTAGATCCATGGCTCTATCTCCTACATGGTTTTGTGACTTTTCTAACTCTCTTGGAGAAGGTAGCTAGACTGAGCAAGTGAAAGGTCCATGGAGGTAGGCATGAGCTTGAAGGTCTATAGACTGCAGAAAAGGAGCAGGTGGTAAACTTGGGAAGCAGGACACCTAAGGGAACAGAAAAAATAGAAGAGACTAGCATATTATTGACTGACTATTGGTTTGGAAAGGAACCTGAGAGACCATTTTATAGATAGGGAAATCAAGATCAAGCACTTGGAAAACAAATACTTATTGTATAGTATAAGCAGTACAGTTGAATCTCAGAGGAGAGAGATTACATTTCTTGAGAAGAATAAGAATGAGTGATGGGCCTAAAAATGCTTTCTAGATGGGGAGACCAGAAAATTAAAGACAGGATAGGTATGATAATGGGCTCTTTCTGTGTCTAAGAAGGGAAAGGTATGGCAGTTCTTGAGGGTTAGAGCAAGTAATCGTGTTGGAAATTTTATTGGCAATGCCATAAAGAAAATTTCTCTCATTTTTGGAGGAAAAAAATACACTAAGCATGCAGAAGAAAAAAACCAAAATGAGCGACCAATTCTCTAGCACTCAGACTATGTTACATTGGAGTGTCCACAGTCTGCTTTTCTGGTGCTGTGAATACAGAAAGAAGGAGGCAGGCAAAGGAGATACTAGTTGGCAGTTACTTGTCTTCCCCCTTGCTTTTCAGTCCGCATTAAATGTATTTTAAAATTAAGATGCAATGCTGTAAATCTGGGCTGCAGTCTTCTAGTGGCAGTTCTGACGAGGATAGCCCAAGTCTCCACACTGCCCATCTCCCCTCCTATTTCTTTCCTGCTGTGCACAGCATTGATTATCCTCCTTAGAAAAGCAATTTCAGCATCTAGGATGGAAGAGGAGAATATTAATCATAGGAAAATTTGACAGGGCAGAGGCCTCTATGGGTCCACTTGAGCCATTTAAAGCTTTTATGTTCCCTCTAGACCAGTACAAGTGCATGTGCATGAGGACCATAAAAGAAGGAAGATACTTATTTTGTAAGCAATAATAGCTTAGAACTGGCCTCTCTCTGGGTGCATCTTTTCATAGCTCTGGTTGTCTAAATCAGATCATCTCAGCTGTCACTATTGTTTTATTTCTCTTCTCAGTAGATACTATTAAAATGACAATTTAGCTTGGAAGTTGTGCCCAGAGTGTTAAATGGGTTTTACATTAAAAAGAAAGACACCAATGTGGTTTTAATTCTGACAGTTATTATAATATAGAGATTCTAGAAAAAATAATGTCAAATCTAGGTGAAATGGGTAGACTATGAAATGAACTCGGGGGATTTTTTTGAAAAGGGAAAAGGAACATGTTCTTGCTACAACTTAACATTCCATGTAGAGCACAGAGCCCTCCTGCATCTCCCTACTTACTTTCTAGCAATCAGAACTAAGACAGGTTGATGTATCTTAAAACTGCAGACTAGAAGGGACATTAAAACATCATCTTATGATTTTTCTGCCTTCGGAAAGGAGTAAACTGAAATCATTCTATATGTATGAAATATCTCTTTTTTGCAACTTATAATTCTCTAAAGGTCTTCACAATGAACCCCAAGAAAGCTATTTAGAATCAATGCATCACAATCAGGAAACTGTTTGTATGCAACTTTTCGTATTTCGGTTTTGGACTCTTCCCTTTTCATCCCTTTGTGAAGAGTCACAATAGCTGGTTATTATCTTCCTGAGATGAAGGAAGATAATTTGCTCATTGTTCATCCCTTTTTCCTAAAATATATTTGCTTCTGAAACATTTCCTCATACATTCTGTTTTCCTGCCCTTAAATGATATCCATTGCTTGATGCTGAGCTTTCCCTCAAGTTAGTTCCTCTTCTTTAGTTCTAAAACCCAAACTGGACTCTGTATTAAAGGAAAAGTTTGGCCAACTTGACATATAAAGAACAATCATCAAATGATTCCTATAGTTCAAAACTTATACAACCAGGGCCACAGCAGCTTTTTAAACCACAGTTTGATGATAGCCTATGGCCATTTGTTGTCTTAGCATGATCCTACTAAACTTGTATGCAACTGTTCTGTCTACATGTTTCTTTAATGGATTATGACTAAACAATTTTAACTGATTGTTAGTGAATATGTAGGATTCATTTTTTTATAAAAAATTAGGAATATATGGTGAAAAAAAAGGAAAATACAATGAAAAGTTGTCTTCCAACACCTGTCCCAGCCATCTACTCCCCCCACTCCAGGGTCTCACTTCATTTCCTACTGCTTGTGTATTCATGGAGTCTACATATATAAGGCTCTCTCTCTCTCTCTACACACACACACACACACACACACACACACACAGGGTGCCAAAAAATGTGTGCACATCTTAAGAAAGGAAAAAACTATTAAACTTGTAGTACTCAATATATACCAATAACAAAAGATGAATACAAGCCATGTTTGACCTCTGCAATTACAAGAGGTGCTCAAAGTGGTTACTGTCAGAGTTCAGACACTTCTGATTATGGCGAACTACTGCAGGACTTCTTGCTGTGAAAGGCCTCTCGAATCTTCCCTTGTGCACATCACACAATGTCATGCATCTCAAACTTATCACTAAATGCGTGCAATTGTCAGGCATGTTGGAGGTCTGTTGAATACTCACACCTCCACTGTCATTGTACTTCCATAACATTCTCAAATTTCAAATACACTTCAATACAGTCTTGCGTTCCTCAAATGACAAGTGTGCTTCCACAATTTTCTTTTTCCTGTGTCATATGGTGATGCTAGCATTCATTTGATTAGCACCATCTTTTGAGTGAACATCATATTGCACATTGTTATCGTAATTCAACTCAACTTCGACAAGTAATACATAGATAACATCTCTTAAAATGAATATACTTTTTTGGCACCCCCATTATACACACACACACACACGCACACACACACACACACACACACACACACGCACACATATGAGAGAAATATAATGTATTTTAGTATAACTGGCAGTATGTTTTAGCACTTTTCTGCATTTTTAAAAAAAATTTAATGATATACCTTGGGGATCTTTTCACTTTAGTATACACAGATCTCCCTCGTTCTGCTTTGTGGCTACCTAGTATTCTATTGAATGGATGTACGGTCATTTATTTACTCCAAACCTTTCTGCACACTCATTCCTTTCTCCAAAATAACTTCCACCAGCTGAAGACGGTAGATGACTCACCCTTCATCTTCATTGCATTACTGTTTGCAGAGTGCTTACTGTGCTTGGTACCATAGAGAATCCAAGAAGCCAGGAGTTTGGCAGGCTCTGCTCTCTTGGAACAACAGCCCCACCAGGGAGAAGAGACATAGGATAAGGGGAGCCTCATTGCCAAGTCCATCCCCTCCCCCAACTGTTTTCTTGTTTCCTTGCACATCAGATACTCCTTCTAATACACAGTACAAATGACCTTTCCATGTATTGGATGGGTATATGATGGTATGTGTGCCTGATCTGACTTATACTGAGAGTCACAAGAGCAGGGATCTCAAACTCAGATGCCTACAGGGGCCAGGAGGATGACCTAAATGAGTGAAGTGACATGAGCCAATTGGGAAAACACAAGTTCTGTTTAAAGGGAATGGCCAACAATTTTCTTTTTCCTGTGTCATATGCTACTCTGCTCCAGATTATTTCCCTGTGACTTGTCAGATCTGATGGATGAAAAGGATCCAATGGGTAGAAGGAACATGGAAACTTTCTGTAGTATTTTTTACAACTACACATGAATCTATAATTATCCCATAAGCCTGCATTATTTGTGTGAAATTACCTGATGTGTAAGTGTAGACAAAATTTAAACATTATACAGGCCCAAAAAAACTCATCTATAAGTCACAGGCAGCTTCTGGTCTACCATTTTGTTATTTGTGCATAGCTGGATCATTACAATTTGATTTGTATAAAATCCAAGACAGCTAATCCACAGGTTTGCTTTTTAAAATGTTTATTTTTTATTTTAGATTCAAGGGATATATGTGCAGGATTGTCACATAGGTATATTGCACGGTGGTGAAGTTTAGGCTTCTGCTGAGCCCATCACCTAGGTGGTGAGCTTGGTCCCCAATGAGTGGCTTTCCAACTTTTGCTCCTCTCCTTCCCTCCTTGCTTTAATAGTCCCTAGTGTCTGTTGTTCCCATCCTTATACAATGTCTGCCCAGTGTTTAGCTCCCACTTGTAAGTAAGAACACCTTGTATTCAGTTTTCTGTTCCTGTGTTAATTCACTTAGAATGATGGCCTCCAGCTGCATCCATGTTGCTGCAAAGGACATGACTTCATTCCTTTTTATGGCTGTGTGGTAGTTCATGGTATGTATGAACCAGACAGACAAGCAACCAACAAACATATGAATAAATGCTCAACAGCACTAATCATCAGAGAAATGTAAATCAAAACCTCAGTGAGATTGGCTATTATTAAAAAATCAGAAACAACATATGTTGGCAAGTTTGCATAGAAGAGGAAACATTCATACACTGTTGGTGAGAATGTAAGCTAGTTCAACCCCTGTGGAAAGCAGTTTGGAGATTTCACAGTGTCTTTAAAAATGATTCTTGCTGTTTTTATTCTAATTTTCCATTGCTTTTGACAGTGGCCATTCCCACTTACTTGTTGAGTTTTCCTCTCATTCCAGGTTCTTGGATGTGGCTCTGTTGCCCAAGCTGTCCTCAGTCGAGGACACTTTGGAGGAATCGTCACTGTCAATGTTGGATTTGCGATGGCAGTTGTAATGGCCATTTATGTGACTGGAGGTGTCTCTGGTAAGCAGTGCAGATAATAATAGCTACTATTAACTCAGCCACCTAAGTGTGCTACCACAGAGCTGGGTGCTTTACACATTTTAATATATTTAGACTGCAACACTCTTGCAAGAGAATGTATTGGATCCCCCTTTTTTTTTTTGAGTTGAAGTCTCACTCCATCACCTAGGCTGGAGCACAATGGCACACTCATGACCACTGCAGCCTTGACCTACTGGGCTCAGCCGATCCTTTCACCCCAGCCTTCCAAGTAGCTGGAACTACAGGCACATGCCACCTCGCCCAGCTAATTTTTTTTCCATTTATTGTAGAGACGAGGTGTCACCAAGTTGCCCAGGCTGGTCTCGAACCCCTGGACTCAGGCAGGCAATCCTTTCACCTCAACCTCCCAAAGTGCTGGGATTACAGACATGAGCCACTGCACCTGGCCTGGATCCCACTTTTATAGATGATAAAATTAAAGTGGACAACACATGGTAAGTGGCTTATGCAAAGGCAACATTTAGCAAGAGACAGAAATGGGGGTTAGAACTCACAACTGATTCACTCCCGTCTGGCTACTGCGTCATATTTTTCATGAGTCAATGGGATCTTTTACTTGCTCTTCCCCACACTTGGAAGTTATTTCTCAAAGACCCAGAGACTTGTTCAATGGAGGTCACTCCAACAGAGGCAAATCCCTGGACCTTTGTCTACAACTATCAGGGGAGTCTGAGTCTCTTGTAAAATGAATGGTACTTTCATGGAAGTACAGATCTGATCTCGAAGATGTTAGTCTAATTTTTCCCTGAGAAGTGGACTGGTTAGAAGCCATTTACAAGGCTCTGAGATGCAAAATAAAACAATGATATTTAATGCAGTCTGGGGCCTCAGAAAGGGACTATGGAAATGATCCCATTACCAAGGGCACTTTGAATCTTCAGCAGCCTGGTACGGGTACCCAGAGCGCTGAGACAAGACTGTTGGTGATAAGGGAAGAAAGCAAACAGCAACCACCGTATGCTGGGCACAGTGCTGGTTGCCTGACATCTTTCATCTCCTTGTCCTTTACCACAACACTCTGAGGCTGGCATTATTATCTCCATTCTACAAAGAAATCCCTAATGGGAGGGATTCAGTAAATTTCTGGAAGTCCTGCAGCTGGTAAAGAGACAAGAGACAAGCTTTGACTCAGGTCTAAATGGCAGCGAACCTCACGTCCCCATTTTTACACATTATTAATGCTCCCGTAATAATGGGAAGGACATTGCAGGCAGGGCCTTTGGGGAGAGGATCCTGAGTTAAACTGGCTGGCTGGGTAGCAATGCTCTCATTGGAGCTCTGAAGAGTGACAGCTGAGACTCCCTGGGAGCTCTTTGTCTGGGCACCTGGAATGGTCACTTACTGACTGGCACCCTTCAATATTACAGCAGGCTTGGATATTGGGGTGGGCCAGGCTAGATTCCTGTATATGTGATGTATGGCATGAGCCGTGTCTCCATTAAAACTCTTGTCCAGTTTTTGCTGTTATCCCAGCACTATACCTCCTAGCAGGGCACAGGGATAACCAGGAGACTGTCCTGAAGGTGCTAAGGCTTAACTGCTGCCCCCTACACGCTCCCACTACATTCGCATAAGTGTGTTTCTACAAACTATGCAATGTAGAGGTGGACATATTTTCAGCTATTTTTTTTTTAGATAGAGATATGGTTTTGGAGTATTTTGCCCACATAACACCCTGAATATCATCAAATAGTTATTTAGGCTTAATTGGCCCCAGACTCTACCCTTCGCCACGACTACAGTCTGTATCTGTTATGTCCCTTGATTTGCTTGGGGATTTCAGCAGTCATCGGAGCAGGAAAGAGGGGAAGCAGGAAGGAGAAGAGAAAGTAAGGAGATGGTGGGGAGTCTTCTCCTCTGGACTCTGAACTGGGGTTAAGCCCCTGTGGTTAGAGGGATAAGAGTCAAAACTGATGGGACTATTTTCACTAGAGGCCGTGTTGCTGGGTGAGGATCAAAACCAGGTTGTTTATAAGAGACCATGAGGCCTGAAGTACAAGTAGAACTAGGTCCAAGACAAGCTGATAAAATGTAGCATTGGGTTGGAAAGGGAGCCCTTGTCACCCCATCTCTGTCTGGAATCTAGCATAGTTTAGGCTCCTGAGGACTGGTGGTTTGGGGAACATGTTGGGAGCATGCAGAGACAACACACTGGTCCACCGTGACTTCTACGTGGACAATAGCAGCGGTATTGGCTTCAGCAGCTGCAGTTATTAGGAAAGTTGTGTATGGGAGGTGACTTTCTCATGGTGGCTGCAGCTAAGATACTGGTTTGTGGGCGCATGTAAGGCCCTCTTTGAGGATTCCGAAAATAACCAATGTACACTGGGCATAAATATAAATTTGCTCCCATTTTGTCACAGACTGGTGAGGTAAGTGAATATTTGGTTTTTAGATATAAAACATCATCTTACTGTAAAGAAGTTACAACATCCTGGTCCCTTGGGAATGTGCCAATCAAATCCAGTCAGTCCACAACACCCTAATTAGGTAGCATCCTGCACAAAATGTTTAGACTACCTAATGGTAGTTGCTTTTGATGCAGCATTTAATAAGTGAAATGAATTTACTGAAAAGAACAAAATAGCCCTACTTAATGAAAAATAAAATATAAGGTTACTTTTATCACAGGATTGTCTATGAGTGGTGGGGAGGAGGGGATTTGCGTAGAACAGAACCTTGAAAGAGTTCACTCTGCTCACCCAAGACTTTCATCTTGTGCCTTGCAGGTTCCGGCTGCACCTGCGGGCTCTTTATATGAATAATCTAATTGTCCCAACAACCTTGGCAGAGCCAAGGTTTGAGTGCAGGACTCTCTGACTCTGGAACTCATGTTCTTTCCACTACATTGCTCTGCCTTGTAATAAGCCAGGGGTGCCCTCTCATCTCTACAGAGATAAATTTCTAGTAGTCACTTGGCCTCCAGCCAAAGCGGTCAGGGTGCCGCTTGTCCATCTCCTTTTCTGAACCTTCCTGCCACCTTCTGGACCCTTTTCCTCGTTGCTTTCCAGACACACCCTCTTTGACCCCAAACAACTTTCCTTCTCTGTAGATCTCTGTAGTATGAACTAGATAAATAAGGCCTCTGATTATGTATTTCTTCAACTTTCAAATCTCAAATGCCTACTAAGTGCCTTGCATTGTGTGAGATCTGAGGTTAATAATAGTTCCAGCCTCAGGGTACCTGTGAGGAGCTAAAAAGCATAAACTTACCCATGGAACATTTTATTTTGGAAGAAGAACTTGTTAAAGAAATTTCTCACTGGTAGACTCAACTAAAGACAAGTATTTTTGATTGGAGGTGATTTCTTATGGCTGCTTTGTCTTGTTGAAATGGGTACCTCAGGCCAGTTGGGAGGCAGCTACTCTGTAATCAGCCTCTGGGAGAAGAGGAACAGGGTTGGCTTTAGAAAATTCCCCTGTCTTGTGTGTCCCTCCCTTAAGCCCTGCTTCCAGCCTTCCTGTTAAGCTGTCTTGCTAGTCCCCAGAATTAATGGTTCTCTTGGATTTAGAGGTAAAACACAACAGGTGAAATGTTTGTAAAGCTTCAGGAAATCATCTGTGTGTTGATATATTGACATTTTCTTGCTCATAGTAGCCCCTGAGTGGCAGGAGCAGGTGAAGAAAGGACCCTTGTGGGTTAGCTAGCAGCCAGACACCCCCTTCCACTTCCCTGCAAGCCCGCTTTGAATTGAAGACTCAGGAGAAGCATAGCATCCTCCACAGAGGGGGTTGAAGCTTCTAGAAGCAAGCTTACCTTGTTTTGACCTGTGAAGGATCAAATGGTGCAGGATCATTGTCATCATTATCATCATCATCAGTGTCATAATCATCATCGTCACCATTATCACTTCTCTTTTATTTACAACTATGTTCACAACCTGAAGGCTCACATCCTGTTGTGGTGATTCTGATTTTCCCTCCACATAAAATATCACCTGTATTCCTCAAATGAACATCTTTCTTCCCTAAGAAGTGAGCCTAGAAGTAGAGGAGCCTTTATAGACATGACAAAGAAGATCTGGAAATGGTATAACATAGAACATAAACTCTAGAGTTCAGATAGGCCTGGATTTGAATCCTGGTTCTACCACTTACTGCCTATGTGACCTTAAAAAAGTGACTTCACTTCTGTGCCTCAGTTTCCTCACCCGTTGAGTAGTACCCATCTCATATGGTTCTTAGGAGGATAAAATGCACTCAATACCCCTATGATAGTGTCTGTCTAGTGAACCAATCATAGAGCAAACCTTCTAACTGATCTTGTGGCTAGGTGAGAATCAAGGAGGCTGATTTCTCTAGCTGTCGCTCAGTTTGGGATCAGGGGATTGTTGCTACATTTCTGTGTATGAGAGAAATACGCTATTTCTGCACAAGAACTGAGGAGAATCCACTCAGACACTGTGACCGCCTGAACATGTACTATACCCCTAACCTCCCAAAGCCCTAACATTGGGAAGAGGCACAGCCCATCAACCAAGGGGCATTTCCCCTTAAAGATACATCTCTTTTCAGTTCTAAGATTAGGATGGACTGAGGAATTGCTAGATATAGACTTAAATCTTATTTGTATATTGCATAAGCATATTGACTTTTTGAAAAATATTGAAGTTAATAGTTACATCCACCTGCTTGGGATTGTTGCTTTACAGATATATAAAAGCCCCCCCAAAATGAGCTGTTTGTGCATATCAAGTTTTTTCTATATTTGACTCTGTTTTCACAAAGATAAACGCTCTAAACAGTATCCAAGGATGCCATGAGGATTATTAGTCCTCTCTTTCTCCCCCCACTTAAACTCTCTCTCTCTTTCTTACACACACACACACACACTCTCTCTTTCTTACACACACACACACACACACACACACACACACAGCAACACACATGAATGCTTCTCTTTCTCTTTGCACACAGTTCTCACCCTAGAAGATAGTTCTACCTATCTCTAGATATGATTTTCTCCATAATTCTCCTTCTTGGCCTGCCTTCTGAATTCTCTAAGCATCACCTTTTCCTTGCAGGTGGCCACATCAACCCAGCTGTGTCTTTGGCAATGTGTCTCTTTGGACGAATGAAATGGTCCAAATTGCCATTTTATGTTGGAGCCCAGTTCCTGGGGGCCTTTGCGGGAGCTGCAATCCTGTTTGGCATTTACTATGGTGAGTAGAGCCTCTGAGTCCAAAGGGTAAGGAGAATTGGGCATGATTTGAAAGTCAGAATTACTTGGTAGGAAGAGGTGAGAAAAAGCAAGAACAGGAAGCATTCTACAATTAACAAGAAGTTTTCAATGTAAGAATATGAGGCCAATATTATCATTATGGAAAACTCATGGAGCCTCTTAATGAAAATAATCTTATCTTATATGGAGGGCAGAACTTAAAGGAAAGCATACCTTAAGGTCCAACCAGCACAATAATATAAATATGCACAAAATAGGCAATAGGCCAGTGGCTTCCCCACTGCTTTCTCTGATTTGGCTGGGAAAGGAGTGTTGACTGCTGGCAAAGAGTATAACCACTAAGTATTTAGAGAAGGAATCTGGGAAGATGTCTTTGTTGGAAGAAGCATGGCAGAGACATGAGCTGGCTGAGAGCCTTGTTGCCCTTCTATCGAACGGCTAGGGCCTCTGATCTGCAGCAATCCTTGGGAAACCCACAGTGCTGGTGATTGAAGACCAGCCTATTCAGTAAGTACCTGTGTGACTTAAATAAATCAGTTGACCTGACTAGCCTCGGTTTCCTCCTCTGAAAAATGAGGAAATTGAATTCAATGACTTCCAAGGCCCTCTAAGGTGATCCATGATATCAACTGTTAAGGCAATTCCTTCCATCTAGTCCAAGAGAAATAAGTTGTGGAAAGGGGCCTCTCCTCATAGCATGTCTCTCTGAAAATCATCATCTAATGGGACTAAAGGGGAATTCAAGACCAGGCCAGAAATTCAGAGAGCCAGTTGCTGTGCAAGAGTGACCTGAGGTCAGTGCTGCCTATGTTAGTGTCAGTGGCTGCCATCCTCCTGGCTCTAAGAGTATCTTCACTATACTGTGATGCCCTCAAAATCTGGAGTGGTGTTTGGGTTACTGAGAACCCCCTGGGAATTATGAATTCTTCTTAGAGCAGGCCCAAACTCCATTTTGGCTTCCAGGTGATCTAAAAATGTCTAAGAATTCTCCCCCAAAAAAGATCGGTTCCCAGGACCCCACTGGCTAAGCATTTGGTCCAAGTTCAGGATAGGCCATGCAAGGCAGCCAAGGGCTTTCTACTTTTGACCAGCCAATCTGGGATTCCTCTGGGCATCTCTAAAACTACCATACTATTAAGTTGAGAAAGCCAAGTCACATGGGTATGCCAAACTCAACCTGAGTGCTTGATTGCAGCTGTTTAGCACAAGGCTTTGCATAGGCCTCCTTTGATTCCTCCCAGAGAACATTAATGTGTAGCTTTGCCTTCTATAGATGAACTTTGTCCTTTGTCTTCCATAGATGCACTTACGAACTTTGCTGGTGGAAAATTGCTCACTGTGGGAGAAAATGCAACAGCACACATTTTTGCAACATACCCAGCTCCATATCTATCTCTGGTGAATGCGTTTATAGACCAAGTAAGTGTAGAATCCACAGAGGTTGATGAGAAGACATGTTTTCATAAGGGAATGCATTAGAGATCTATCAGAAGGAAGAGGCTGTGTTTCTAAAGACAGAGGTTTCTGGGCATAACCTTAGCTTTCTTGGCAATTTTTTGCCTTTGTGGAAGTTGATACCACTGAAAGGATTTTCTGTTTCCTCTTCAATATGTTCACTTGCTTCACATTAGCTGAGGTCCAGGAAAGAGTGGATGGCTGGACATTTCAAGCCCTCTCAAGGCAAATGAGGCTCACTTCACTATTGTTGTTTTCTTTGAGCACATGGTCTAAGTGTGGAGACCACAAGAGAAGACATTTCTCTCTCAAGTCAAGAACTGTGAAGGGTGGCGGTTGAGCCTGGCCTACTAAGGATCCTCACTGTCCTACCATGTGCATATTACCCAAACTCTCAAGGTAGCTGGAAATGTCTCTGCCTCATTGACATTTAAACAAGCTCTGGTACCCAAGTATCTGTGGTATAGCCAATAGTACACCTATTCTGGTCAGTTTGTGACAGATCAGCACAACCTAAAGTCCTCTCTTGCTATGTCCCAAGAAAGCTACCTGTCATCTTGATCAGGGCAGTGAAAAGAAGGAAGGAAGGAAAGAAGGAAGGATATCTTTTCCAGTGTTTCTAAGTGAATAGGACTTATACAATGGGGCAGTTCAGAGTAAACTTATGAATAAAATAGATCTTCTGGTTCATCAACTATGCCCACCTCCATTCAACAGATAGATGAAAAACTATGCATTCATGTCCTCAGCCTTTTTACTTTCCACTTTGATTAATAAACCAAATAGGCAGCAAGTATTTATTAAGAACTCACTATGCTCAGCATATTTGGGCATAGGAAAAAAAGAGAGAACTTACTGTGTGTTCACTCCTAAGTCTGGAGCTCGAGGGGTTGACAAATAAGTATGAGTTGTGATGATCCAAGATTTAAAGGTTGAGTACCTGAATTAAAATAACTGTTCTGCCCCCAACCTCCTGTGTGGCTTTAGCAAATTACTGAACTTTTTGGATTTCAAGTTCACTTGTAAAATAAGGAGAATATTAACCCTCACCAGGTTACCTATAAGGATAAAAAGAATACTATGAAGAAAATTCATTGTATTACTCAGAAATTTAGACTCTAGTTGAAGAGCAGAATGATCACATGAGAACAAGGGAGCAATACAGAAAAGAATATAACTAGATAGGAAACTGGACTATAGGAGTAACATTAGCCATTTGGAGCAGAGAGCCTAGAAGAGCTAGGACAGTAGGAACAGTTTCAGTGGGAAAGATACAGAAAGATGTGGCTACCAGAAAAAAAAAAAGAATGCTATCATAAGGTGCATTTACAAAGCATGGTATTCAAGTGAAGTAGTCAAAGGTCTTGCTCTGCTCTGTACTGGGAGTCTTTGGCTCATTCCCAAATGTTTCATATATAGGGAGATATGCTGCTGAAGGAGAAACCCCAAAATTGTAATGATGGCATACAAACAATGAGTGGAGAACAGGGATATTTGGCCTAGATAAGGTGTGTGGGAGTGTGGGGAGGGTAATGAATGTGATGGGACATGGTGGTAGCTTTCAAAGATGTGATGAGGAGCTGGAAAGTGGAAGAGATTAGAATAAATGTGTAGACCCAGATACCTCAATGGAGATTGGGTGGAAGCATAATGTCTAGTACATAGTTGGTGCTCAAAGATATGTGTGAAATGAATAGATGAGTCCGTAAATGAATGAAATAATGATGAAATAAAGTTACATCCAATAAAAAAGACTTTTCTAAAAAATTGAAGCTGGACTAAATATAGACACAATTGCCCCAGGACAGTAGTCACTAGGCTGTTGGAAGCTGGTCTTTTCCATCAGTTCTAGGTGATGGAAAGTGGGGATAGGAGGAGATTCAAACACTAGATGCTGGACAGTGTGAGATACATCACCTTTCCAGTTCTGAGACTGGTTTGGCCAGTTGGAAATGGAAGGAGTTTCCCAACTAGGGATACTGGAGTCATGTGAAGGAGGAAGGTGAGAGAGTAATTGTTTCATAAACTTGGAACAGGGACACAGAAAAAGTTATGAGGAGGGAGGAATGGAGAGAGGGGGAAGAACTCACTGAAGGTAAGATGGCAGGGGTCCCTGACTTCTCTGGGCATCAGTCTATTGGGAGAGGGAAATAGACAAGGGGATTCTTTTTAGTTTCAAAACACCAGGAGTCTATTCTTACAAGCAAGTCAGGGAGGATAGGACCTGTCAGGCTTTACATACCTATACAGACAGAGCAACTAGCTGTACATTTGCTGACTCAATAAGGGCACCAGACTTGGGATGAATAACAGTCACAGGGGTTTTGTAGGAATACTATTTCCATCAATCCAAGTCAAATTTATCTTTTTTTTTTTTTTGAGTTGGAGTCTCACTCTGTCGCCCAGACTGGAGTGCAGTGGCTGCTCCCGGCCACCGCAGCCTCGACCTACTGGGCTCCGGCGATCCTTCCGCCTCAGCCTTCCAAGTAGCTGGAACTACAGGCGTGCGCTACCACGCCTGGCTAATTTTTTTGATTTATTGTAGAGATGAGGTCTTGCCAATTTACCCAGGTGGGTCTCGAACCCGCGGGCTCAGGTAATCCAGTCACCTCAGCCTCCCAAAGCGCAGGATTACAGGCTGAGTCACCGATCCCGGCTCCAAATTTATCTTATAATGAAGACAGAAATGTAGTAAAGAACTATTGAAGGATCTTTAGCAGTTTCTTGTGTAAATTCAAGTCATTTCCAATAGAAGCAAGAAAGAATGCTGAGTTTTTCAAACCTTGGCTTGAACTGAAAAGAATTTCACCTTTGTTCCCTGTGATTTCAACTCATGTCTGCCACCCCAAGGACAGAAGAGTGGTACATGTCTCCCTAGGAATTCTGCAATGTGCTGAAAGACCCTGTCACAACTCAGCCACTTACCATGAATTTGCCCTTATGCTTGTTACCTGCTGAACCTTCTGAAACCTCAGTGTGGTCTTATGACAAATGGCATCAATAATATCAGGCTAATACACCACAGCAATAAAATCCCTGGCACATAGTAACAACAACAAATAGTAATTTTCCCACCTTTGACCTATTCTCTCTTCCTCCCTCTTTCCCTCTTACCTTTGCTATTCTAATAGGATCTTATGGAATTTTACATATTTTCCCAATCCAAATCGTCAGGATGTTTCACCAGGGATCTTGGTTACAAAGAAATTGCTTGGTATCTGGTCAGTGGAGGTCCCAAGTCACTGAGGGTTACCCTTGGCTCAACTGATGTTGATCCACATGCCATCTCTTGAGCTTTCTTCACTGTGTCCTTATCTCAGAGTAAGTTGCCAGTTTTTCGAAGGACCATGGTTTTTAAGCCAGTTATTATATATAACCAGGTAGAGAAAATGAATACTAGAAAACCCCAGAATGCCATCCATTAGCAATCTCTGAAGCCCTTCTGTATTCCTTTGGCTTTGGGGTGGGAGTTCAGAAAATTGCCAATTACCAGTCAGTCAACACCCAGCAAAACTCTTGACCATCATGACCACATATTTTGATCACCTTATCTCAAGATTGTTTAGCTCTAAATAATGTTCAAGCATATTCCACAGTTTAGTTAATAATCAAACATTCATTCACTCAATAAGTATTTATCAGGCACCTACTGAACTTGTACAGCTACATGCTGTTTCTTCTTCAAAGAGTTTGAAGTTTGATGCTCAGTCTAACAAGCAAACAGACCGTTCTTTTGCAGTGTGACTAGAACAGTTATAGAAGCAAAGTCAGAGTGCCACAGAAGCCCAGAGGCAGGAGCTTTTATTCTGCCCATGAGATCAGAGAAGGTGCTCTGGAAAGAACATGTCTCTTTAAGTGCAAATTATTTTAATATTATTTTGGAAAGCAGATGAAATGGTGAGGAGCTTAAACTTTAAAATCAATTGCCTGGTTCCTATTCTAATTCTGAGGAGCTATATGCCCTGGGGCAAGTGTTTTAACCCCCTTGTATCCGAGTTTCCTCACCAATAAATTGAAAACAGCAATAGGATTTGCCTTACAGGGTTATTTTGAAGCTTTAATTAGGTAAAGCATATGAAGTACATGGCACATAACAAGTGTTCGGGAAACAATAACTATCATTTATTTAGTTATCCAAGTACAATAATCATTTCGAAAGCTTAGAAAATAGAAAGTGAGGAAAACACCAGCTATAACCCACCAAATCAGAATACAGTACCTGCTGTCATTTTGTATATTTTCTTGCAATTTTCCTTTTATGTACTTTTTAAATAAAGCTGACCCTCCATTTCCATGGGTATCACATCCGTGGATTCAACCAACCACAGATTTTTTTTTAAAAATGTTTTTAATTGTATGTGTACTGAAGACTTTTTTCCTTGTCATTATTCCATTATTCTTGTCATTTCTTCCATTATTCCGTAAACAATACAGAATAACAACTATTTACATAGCATTGAAATTGCATTAGGTTTTATAAGTAACCTAGAGATTATTTAAAGTATACAAGAGGAGCCTGGATGCGGTGGCTCACATTTGTATTCCCAGCACTTCAGGAGGCCAAGGTGGAAGCATTGTTTGAGCCCAGGACTGAGACCAGACTGGGCAACATAGCAAGACCTCGTTTCCACAAAAAACTCAAAAAATTAGCCTGACATGGTGGTGCATGCCTGTAATTCCAGCTACTTGGAAGGCTGAGGCAGAAGAATCACCTGAGCCCAGGAGGTTGAGGCTGAAGTGAACTGTGATCATGCCACTGCATTTCCCTGGGTGACAGAGTGAACGCTGACTAAAAAAAATAAAATAAAATAAAAAAATAAAGTGTACAGGAGGATGTGGATAGGTTGCATACAAACACCATACTATTTTATATAGGAACTTGAGCATCTACAGATTTTGGTATATGAGGGAGGTCATGGAACCAGTCTCTCATGACTGTATAAAACATTATGCACACACAATTTTATTTTCTTCACATAATATAAGCATTCTTAATGTTACCACGTAGCTTTTATGTTTATAGTTTTTAATGTCTATATAGTAGACTATGAAATGGACATTCCATAATATACTTAGCTCTTTCCTTATTGATGTGTACTTAGGTAGCTAAGTTTTTTAGTGCTAAAAATAATGTTATGGTGAACACATTTGTTTTATGATTCTTCTGTGGTATAATTCTCAAATATCCAACAGCTGCAAGTTGTAGGAAGAAATTCATTTATTTATTTATTTATTTGAGTTGGAATCTCACTTTGTCACCCAGGCTGGAATGCAGTGGCACACTCACGACCACCGCAGCCTCGACCTGGTGATCCTTCCACCTCAGCCTTCCAAGTAGCTGGAATTACAGGTGTGCACCACCACACCCAGCTAATTATTGGATTTATTGTAGAGATGAGGTCTCGCCAAGTTGCCTAGGCTGGTCTCGAACCCGTGGGCTCAGGCATTTCTCTCATTTCGACCTCCCAAAATGCTAGGATTATAGGCATGAGCCAAAGCATCCGGCTCAAAATTATGTTTTTAAATGCATATTGCTAAATGATTGCTGTGTTTCCTTTCAAACGTGTGGTGTTTGTTTCAGTCTACTAGAAAATCCTGAAAGAACTGGTATCCTTTTCCTCATATTTGGTTTTGTTTGCATTTCTTTTATTATAAGTCATTTTGTCCTACTGGTGTCCTAATTGTTTTCTTTTATGAATTTTTGGTTCATTTCCTTTGCACATTAATCGGTTGACATCTCACATTGTTTTCCTCACCCCTTTGATCAAGCCCTTTGTTGAAAGCTTGCCTTTCTAGTTAGCTGAGGAGTAGCTTAGCAGGATACTGTGTATTAAGATAAAGGTCTTTAGAGCCAAACTCTCTGGAACCAAACCTGACTGCCACCTACAAGGTATGTGACCTTGGGCAGGTAACTAATCCGTAAGTGAGAATTTTATTAGCATCTGTCTCCAGGATTGCTGTGGAGAGAAGAGAGCCTGGCACAGTGTACTCACCCAGAACATGTTAGCTATTACTAGGTTTATTCTTAACAAGAAGGGGTGAGTTTTGAGGTGGGCAAGTGGACAGAACACAGGATAAAGCCCTTGAATATTTTCTCATTCTCCAGGTGGTGGCCACCATGTTCCTCCTCCTCGTTGTCTTTGCCATTTTCGACTCCAGAAACTTAGGAGTCCCCAGAGGCCTAGAGCCCATTGTCATTGGCCTCCTGATTATTGTCATTGCTTCTTCTTTGGGACTGAACAGTGGCTGTGCCATGAACCCAGCTCGAGATCTGAGTCCCAGACTTTTCACTGCCTTGGCAGGATGGGGATTTGAGGTCTTCACGTAAGTAACAAAGGTGGGAAGGAGAGAAACAGATTCATGCTGAGACTCATTAACTGGTTTGTGCTTTGACTAGAAGATTCAGATAAGAGTAGCAAGGTTAAGTACATACTCTGGTCAAAAGTGTGGGACATTTCACTGGTATTTTGTGGCATTGTGTGTGTGTGTGAGAGAGAGAGAGAGAGAGAGAGACAGACAGATAGACATACACAGAGAGAGAGAGAGAGAATCAGGCTACAGGTAAATTCAATAGAGATAGGCCGGCCCTACATACTAATAATCCCTCAACTGTTGTGAACACTTTGGCTATGTAACTTGTCTACAGATCCTCTTCATGACAAAGTCAGGACTAGAATTTATATCTTCTGAGACCACTACAGGTCTCTTTCTTGTGAGCTATGCTACCTGTGCTCCATTCATTCAGCAGCTCTCTGTGGAACACATTCTACACTGTGGTCACTGTATAAGGCAAGGAAATTTCAAAATCAGCAAAGACACTTGCCTTGAGCAATACAATAAAAGCTCTGACAACCCCTAAAAGTGCTGAGGGAGCACAGATAAGGAGTGGCTGACTCTGCCAGGGAAATTGGGGAAAGCATGACTAAAGATGTGAGAACTGAGTTGGTTCTTGAGATCTGAGTAAGAAATTCCTGACAGGACAGAATAAGATAGAGTCTATGCCCAGGAAATGGCAAGACCCCACACTTTCTACTTCAGAATGTGCCAAGGGAAATATGCCAACTGTTGGTACCAATCATCTAAGACAAACTCTGTTCACTAACTCCTTCCTGTTTTTTTCCCATAAAGTCATATAACCCCCCCATCCCCCCAGCGCCCCATCCACTCATGGCAGCTCCCGATGGGAAAATAACTCACTCAGGTTCATCAGAACACAGAGAAAGAGAAAAAGAAGCAGGAAAAACACGTGTGAGCAAATTCTAGTTTAGTTCTTTCTCTGAGAAGAAAGGACTTGAGTTCCCAAATGCTCACCTGGACATGTAGTCATCTGCATGCCATGGCTTTATATAAATGAGAGTTTCATCCACGTGAAAAACAAACTGCCAAAATGACTGATATCATTCAGATCGCCACCAGAGATATTGTTGAGAGCCTCTGGAGGCCTTAACAGCTTTTTCCCTGCTGTATTCACAGTGCCTAGAACAGGGTGTTGCTCACAGAAAAGCTCAAGAAAAAGTTATTGAACAAAAGAATAAATAAATTCAATGTACCAAACAACTCCTAAGAGAAGAAGGGTACAAAGAGAATTCAGCAACATTTTTTATTCTCAAGACATTGACAATAAAATATATTTTCTAGAACATGAGTTCTCAACAAGAAGTGGGCAGTTTTTCTCCAGGGACATTTGGCAGTGCCTAGAGACACTTTTTTTGGTTGTCACAGCTGGAGCTAGGAAGAGGAGACGCTATTGGCATCTAGTGGATAGAGACCAGGGATGCTACTGAGCGCCCCCCCAACAAAGAATTATTCAGCCCCAAACGCTAATAATGTTGTGGGTGAGGAACTGTGTTCTAGGATGATCACAGCTAGAACATGAAAAGTCCCCAGCTAGGCAGGATCTCTTGTACCTTTCCAATGGAGCATCAAAACAAATGTCCTAAAGATCTCCTTATTCCCAGAGTCCAGAATTAGCCCATGAATTCCCCTTAATCCCACCTTCCGGGGCCTCACTCAGAGACCACACTCTTCTCCCTACTCCATTAGGCCTCCTTGGTAATTCATCCACAACTCTAAGGGTCACGGTGGTTCCAAAACAGACAGAGATCTTGCCAGATCTCTCCAGGCTTTGTTAAGTATATTAAGAGAACCCATGTGCGGGAGAATACTGGAATCACCTGGGGTCCCATGGTCCTTGTTATCATCAATTTCCTCTCCCTTCGTGCATTCATTTATTCATTCATGCAGCTACCTTGTCTCTTATTCAAGGCCCTGTGCTAAAGATGATAAGACCCAGTTGTTTTCCTTCTCCATTTGATTTATATTCTACTTAAGAGGTTATGGCAGAGGCTCTTACACAAGGTTGAAGTTGTCAAGTGTCATTAAAAAGATTTGACTAATTAACTCCAGGAGTTGAGAGAAGGTTTATAGCTCCAAATTTAGGAATTATGGTGGTGGAAGTGGGAGCATTTTACATATTTGGATGTGTTTAAATGGGTAATAAAGGGGATATCTCAGACAGAGCACCCTGGATTCAAAGACACATGCTAAAACAGCAAGTGATTCACTCTGGCTGGAAGGGTGCATGAAGAAGGTTGGAGTGCAGTTGTCAGATAACAGAGGACTTGGACTCTCAGCATGAAAATATTTGGTTTTTCTGCTGCCTATTCTGTAGGAACAGGAAAGAATTTGGGGCAGAAGTTTAGGATGTTTAGAATGTCAGTTTAGCAAAATTAATCTGGCATCACCATATAAGATGAATTAAAAATAGAGAGAGTAGGGGAATATAAGCTCATTTAGAAAGAGCTAGATCGGCTGATAATCCTTAACTGAAAAGTCTCCCAAAAAACCTTGGAGGGTCTCCAAAGTGTCCTTAGAGTGTCCCATCCCTTCAGAGTTCTACATCCAAGGGAAATCTCTCAGTGGATATCCTAGCTTGGACCTACATGTAAGGTCTTAGATAAAAACCAAGGCTGCCTTATTCCCAGGTCCTCACTTGCCCCTGTATGGCAAGCAGTGGAGAATGGCAGGGAGAGTGGGGTGCCAGAGGATCTGACAAAGGCATGACTCACAAACCCTGGTTGACACATGCTTTTCCCCATAACTGTAAGGTAGTTTCCCAACCAAGTTCTCTCTACTCATGCACATTAGTATATGAATAACTTAATGTGTGAAAGATCTCTGGAGTTGTATTAACTTTTAAAAATAGTTTACCCAAAGTAATGAATCCCTAAAGATGGTCCTTTAGACAATTAACACAGTCATGTTTCCGGTATCCCACAAATCATAGTGTGCAAGCAATCACTAACTTGTGCGAATGTAGGACTGGACTGGGAAGGTGACCACATCAGAGTCACTCCATTTATGACTTGTGACTCTAACACAATGTGTGCAACCTGAAAAAAGTAAGTGGGTTCCTCCAGTGAACCTCTGTGCCCTGGCAGACATCTTGGACCAGGATTGGCTACATGACCAGGAGAGATTATAACAGGAAATGAGGGACCAAACAAAGTAGCTTCTACTTGCTTTATGGGCTGACCTCCAGAGAAGGCTCCCAGTTGTTTAGAGCTGGATGGAAGAAGCAACCTCCCATGCCTCTCATAGAAAAATCCATCTGGATTTAGGGCTGTGAGAACAGCGGGGGTGGGGTGGGGTGGGGGGGTGTGTTGCAGCATCTTCACTCCCGTGAGGTAAGAGTGACATCTGGTGGCTACTGTGCTCATTCTCAGTACTCTTCTGTCAAGCACGTGTAGGTGATGGAAGACATAACGATGAGATAGCTTAAATGTTCCAGGTAGAAGGGACCACGCAGATGAAGGAACTGGAGCTCGGAAAGGGGTGACTTGCCCAAAGACCTTCCAGACATTCCTGGGGTTAGCATGAGGTCTCATGGACTCTAGGACAGGGTTCTTGTTTTCTGCGTATTTCCTTCATTATCTTTTCTAATCAAAATGTGATATAAACAAAAGGTCCCATGGAACATATGTGTAGTTATTAAGTATAATGTTATTAAGTATAATGGTGTAAAAAAACTATGAATCCTTCTAGAACCCAACTAGCACACTGAAACCTTCCCATGCATCCGTTTGCTCCTCCTGTTTCCCCTCCCTTCCCCCACATTATCTTGAAGTTTTGTGTTTATCATTCCCTGCTTTTATTTTTCTTTTTGGAATTGGAGTCTCACTCTGTTGTCCAGGCTGGAGTGCAGTGGTACACTCACAGCCACCACACCGTCGACCTGCTGGGTTCGGTGATCCTTCTGCTTCAGCCTGTCAAGCTGCTGGAACTACAGGTGTGCACTACCATGCCCAGCTAATTTTTGATATATTGTAGAGACGAAGTCTTGCCAAGTTGAACCCACTGGCTCAGGCAATCCACTCGCCTTGGCCTCCCAAAGTGCTGGGATCACAGGCTGAACCACTGAACCCGGTCATCCCTGCTTTGTTTTTTTGTTTGTTTGTTTGTTTTTTAAGTTGGAGTCTCAATCTGTCGCCCAGACTGGAGTGCAGTGGCATGCTCCCAGCCACCATAGCCTCAACCTGCTGGGCCCCAGAGATCTTTCTGCCTCAGCTTTTCAAGTAGCTGGAACTACAGGCATGTGCTACCATGCCCGGCTAATGGTTTATTGTAGAGACAAGGTCTCATCAAGTTGCCCAGGTGGGTCTCGAACCTGCAGACTCAGGCAATCTACTCGCCTCGGCCTCCCAAAGTGCTGGAATTACAGGTTGAGCCACCAAGCCCGGCCCATTCCTGCTTTTTAAAAATAGTTTTATCTCAAATGCATATATCCTTAAACAATATATTGTATGGGTTTTTTGTTTCAAAACTGTATAGTTTTTGTCTGAGCATGGTCCTTCCTACAAAGTTATTTAAACGAACTTTTTCTCTCCAAAGAAAATGCTGACAATTCACACAGTCACCTGTTTTCCCCAGAACTATACCTTTGCTGTAATGTACTGACATTCAGGATTTCTAGAAGAGAGTATCATGGCATGACAGCCTTATCAGACAGCTATTACCTCAAAACATAAGTACTGACTTAAACTATACTTAGTAGATAATTCATATATCCACCTTAAATTTTTAAAACATTTCCTGACAAGCATTTCCTGATTGTTTATTTTGCTTGTCCTCATAGACTAATGATGCCCAGAAATCTCTGCATTCTGAGCCTCTCCTTTCCATTCATAGGTCTTGAATGAGGGAAAGGCAATTCCTGAATAATTGACCTGAATTTTCTTTAGGGACACTCAATCTTGACCTTGGGCTTTAGACTCTATAAAAGGAAAATAAGTGAGGCATAATTTCTCACAAATATCAGTAGGGGAATGAAATAGATCATCTGAAATCAGGTACAGTAGGACATCTAGGGTGAAGGTTGCCATGCTACAACCAGTTCCCTTCTACTTAGCTCTTGCTGACTTAAAAGGGCACCATGAGCATGAGAAAGCCTAGCTAGTGGGTGAATCACTAGACAGTAACACCAGGAGGAAGGCCAAGAAATGTATCACTATTTCCTGTTTGATTTCAGAGCTGGAAATAACTTCTGGTGGATTCCTGTAGTGGGCCCTTTGGTTGGTGGTGTCATTGGAGGTCTCATCTATGTTCTTGTCATTGAAATCCACCATCCAGAGCCCGATCCAGACTTCAAGACAGAACTATCTGAGGACAAACCAGAGAAATGTGAACTTAGTGTTATCATGTAGCGGCATGCTCAGTTCTGAATCTCCAATTGGCTTGGGATTCTCTTCAGAAAAGATGGCATCCAAGCATCTGTGTTTTTGTAAGACTGAGGTGGAATCCATGGAAGCCACCCAATTTTATCTGTTAGCCACATGGAACACCTAGCTGGAAAAGCCAAGTGAAGGACTGGAAACACTGACCTCATCTCTACCAGCTCCCACAACCCCCAGAATAGCACTGATTGTCCTCTGAAATGATCTTCTATCCTGCCCTGTTTATTTCATCCTTGAAGGGACTTCTTACTAGGTGAACACTAATAACTGGGAAGCTTGACCATGACCTTATTGGATGGTCTCAGCTGCATCATCTGTATGAAAGAGTGTCACCAAAAGCCTCTTCTTCGGTATCTACAAAGATTATATTCTGAGTATCAACCAAAGCCTAAAGTGAAATACCGAACAATGGCTTATGGCAACATATCCATGAATCAGGGAGCTAATGGGTGAATCTCTGGTTATGTTGTGCTACTATATTTGTATAAATCTTGATATTCTTCAAACACAGTGATAGAGAAAGTGTAGAATGCAGCCGGAAAGCATAAGTGGAGGACATTGTGGCATTCAGAAACCTCAGAAGACAAGATAAATTTGGAAAACCAAATGGAATTTTTAAAAATGGAAACCATTTCTCAGATTATTCTTTTGCTCTTCTGTATTTTAGAGGGCACCAATTAATTTCCTGGTCTTTAGTATATAACAAATTACAAAATATAAAATATAACCTCAGTCATGAAAAATACACCACTCTATCTTTTTAGCTCAAATATATTTTTCCTTAATTGCCCACTTGAGAACAGACATTCGACAAGTTATGTCAATGACTGTTCTCATCCATTATCTACACATGCCTTAGAAGCCAAAACTGAAAGTCATTAGATCCTGGTCTACCAGAATTTTCTGGATGGGAGGTCCCTGTAAAGATACTAGTAACTTATGCTTTCAAATCACAAAGCATTTTCACACGTGTTATCTAATTTAATCCTCATGATGTCTATGTGAGGTCAATGCCATGTTCTCATTCTTCAGATAAAGAAACACAATCTCAGGGATGTTAAATGAGTTGTCCAAGATCATGTGAAAAGTTGAACATTGTATAAAGCATCGCTCCACCTTTCAGAAGATCGATAACTGGCTGAGAATCTTTACCAATCCTTCCTGGCTGGCCAGAAGAAGTGGTATTGGCAGCTCTTAGAACATATACAGCTTCTGGACATAGTGTTCTTGGATCTTAAGATATAAAGACCCTCATTTTCTGGATTTATTCCCACAGTTGCTGAAATACTAACCAAGGAAAGAGGTAGAAATTGGACCATAGTTTTCATTTGCTGAAAAGCATTATCAGAAAGACTCCCTTCCTATGCCACACATGGTCTTGCTAAGTCTTGATCTTCCTTCCCTGCCAAACCCAAACATTATATTCAGGGAGCTACCTCCTCCTCAGTCTCTTCCCCTTAAAGTTGTCTAATGGATGTTACTTTTGTGTTAGTTACGAGCACCAGGGGGATGTACCTTCAAGGGATGTACCTTCAGCCAAACTGTCAAAAAGCCCAGGGTTCCAAAGGCATCCAATTTTCCAGCTGTGATGATAACAGAACAACAAAAAGCAAGTGTGAAACATTTCTGACAGCCTATGTCCTACAATCTTCGGACATATGGGATTTTTTTTTCTTGGTCTGATGCTACCTGGGTATTTCCCATTTGAAATAAAAATTATTGGGTCACTGTTTGTTTTTATAATTATTAGGATTATTAAGTACACTTAATTCAGAGGTTGTCTATCATCTTTACAAATTCAAATCTCCTGGGGGACCTTTTAAATAATACTAATGCCCAGATAGCCCTTTGTAAATATCTCGAGTGATTCTTATAAGCAGCAAGACTTGAGAATATTGACTTGGTTAAATCACATGGGTCTAGTGTTTCTTTAAAAACTATGTCTAGTGGCGGCCAGGTAATTCCTGGTAGGAGTCCCAGAGTCTTAGGATTCTCATGGATTAAGCAGTAGTTTTCAATAGGGCAATTTTGCTCCCACCTCCCCCTTACTCCTCAAGGGAACATTTGGCAATGTTTGGAGACATTTATAGTTGTCACAACTGGGGGGGAGATGTTAATGACATCTAGTGGCTAGCTACCAGGGATGCTACTAAATATCTTACAACACAAGGATGATCCCTCAAAACAAAGAATCATTTGGCCCAAAATGTCAACAGTGTCAAAGTTGAGAAACCCTGGAGTTGAGAAAAGGTGAGGAGAGGCATAAGAGAAGACATTGAAGCCATGTGCCCTGATTCAAGTTTAGCCAAAAACAGAGATGCCAAATAAACCAGGAACAGACCCCAGGGGCAGATTACAATCCTTAAAGCAAAAGGCAATCCAGAACTTGAGTTTTCAGGATGGATTGTGAAATCTATAATCTATGCAGGTGCTCATTAAACATGGCTTGATGATTAATGACTAGAATTATGATGAGGAAATGCACAATTATGGAAATCAACCCCAGGAAGATTTTTTTTTTTAATGGAAAAAAGTCCTTTTTGCTCCAGGTGTTCACACTCAAATTCCCTCCCCTCCGCAAGTAAGCAGGTTTGCCTTTGTCAGGTTCTTATAAAAGAGAAAGATTATGAAGTTGAATGATCTGTATCAGAAGTCAATTATATAGAGCCAACGAACCTATTTTTAAACAATTGTTTTAGGAGTTAGAACTGTAACACCCTCCCCTGTCTCCCCCTTGTCAATTAAAAAACTTGATAGGAATATTTGTCTAAATGTGAAAATAAAATCTATCAATGATTCCCCAATCAGTTGAGATCTCGGAGCATGTCAAAGGTTTTGGAACTTTTCTAACCAGTAACAATCAGAGTCAACATTCAACTGTTGAAAAGGATAAGTGGAGTTAAAATGTCCTACTTATAACTTCAGTCCTTAAGATAGAAATTACTTCCTTTAAATTACTTACACACATATGCATCTTATTTAATTTAATTTTATTTATTTATTTATTGTGAGTTGGAGTCTCACTATGTTGTCTAGGCTGGAGGGCAGTGTCACGCTCCCAGCCACTGCAGCCTTAACCTGCTAGACTCAGGAGATCCTCATACCTCAGCCTTCTAAGTAGCTGGAACCACAAGCACGTGCCACCATGCCTGGCTAATTTTTTTATTATTATTTATTGTAGAGATGAGGTCTCACCAAGTTGTCCAGGCTGGTCTCGAACCTGTGGGCTCAGGCAATCATCTCACCTCGGCCTCCCAAAGTGCTGGGATTATAGGCATGAGCCACCATGCCCGGCCACACAGCTTATTTTAAAGTGTATCAGTGTTCAATAATATCATCATGGGAACAGAATTACAACTTCTGGTTATAGAGAATTGTTTCTAAGTTTTATATGGTCCTATTGTTCAGATAAAACCTTCTGTGGTACCTGCATGTGAACTGGAACTGCTGTAAATAAAGAAACGGGAGGGAAATCAGGAGCTCCCTCCTGCTTGTGATGTCATCTCACACACCCCAGTGCAGCCCCTAAGGGGTGTGTGTGTGTGTGTGTGTGTGTGTGTGTGTGTGTATGTGTGTGTGTATTGTGAAGGGGGTCTTCAGAACAGTGTCACCATTTGAAAATCATTGATAAAGACTTAAGTTGTTGAACATTTTGATGAAAGTTCCTAGGACAGAACCTACCAAAGGCCATATTAGTTCTTTCTCAGGTAGTTTTCCAAAGACTTCTTAATAAGTGAATGAGACAGAGTAAACCGAATTACTCAACCCACCAGACACCATCTGCAAAGAGATCTATCTTGTGCATCAATTCTCAAACTGGGCATTTAGGTTCTCTGAGATAACATGTTTAGTCATCATAGCCCAGTGAGAAAACAGTGGTAGTTCTGGTCAGGTTTACTGTGTTGACTCTCTAAGTCTGTATAAAACTAGACAGATGATAGACAGACAGATAGATGGACAGACTGATCCATAGGTGTCCAACCAAGCCCCGACCTTGTTCTTGGTGGTGGAAACTGAGTATCTCTTATCCAAAAGAACCTGTCTCTGAATTAATGAAAGGAGAGTCCTGGATAAACCAGACAAGAATCCATGGAACTATGTGTGAATGGAGATTCTGCCCAAGAGCTGAACTGTCTCCCTCCAGGGCTACATGATGTCTTTGTGGGCTTTAGGGCGCTCTTACCTTTGTGGACCTCTTCCCCATGACCCCCCATACAATCAATTATATTAATATATATTATAATAAAATCAAATTATATTCTGTAATTGTACTAACGAAAAGTTCGATTATATTCCCCTTTTCCAGATGTGATTTCAGGAGTGATGAAAACATTTCCAAGGGCTCCTACCAATATCCGGGGCTTGGGCTTTGTATGAGTCGGCACGGCCTCCCGCTTGCGCTCTAGTCCAGCGCGCCCCCTAGTGTCCCAGAGCGTACTCACAGCGCGGCCCCTTCCTCGGCGGGTCTTGGGAGCCCTGGGAGGCCTGGAGGCTGTGAGGGACGTTCCAGAGGGCAAGCCAGGCTCCAGAGGCATGGCCATGGCCATGGGGGTAGTGCATGTCGTGGCCCTCCGCCCTCCCTTCTAGGCTTTCCGCCGGAAAGGGGCTTCCTGACCTCCTGCAGAAGGAAACCCTCAGCAGGGACCCGGTAATGTGTTATGAACTCAGTTCTCGTGTAGCCTCTTGCAGGTTACAAAGCATGTTCACATCCAGTACCTCGTAAGACTCTCACAGTAGCCCAAGTAAATTAGTATCCCCATCCAGAGATGAAGAAACTGAGGCTCATCTTGCACCAAGTTCCAGAGTGAAGAGGAAAAGAGTTGGGATGCGGACCACATCTGAGTGGGGTGACCAGCCATCCCAGGTTGCTTGGGGTTCCCTGGGTTGCAGGATCCAGTGCCAATACCAAAACAAACTGGTCACCCTACGTCGGGATCCGGGACCGTACCCTTCCAGCCACTGAGCCGCCTCCCAGACTAATGCTCCCTTTAGGCCCGTGGTCCTGCAGCAGATAAAATGTTTCTTGATAAATTTGACAGAGAGAATGTCTTCATTTTTAATTTCAATTACAAATGCGAATAAATGTTTTAAAAGTGGCACCGTGGTTAAAAGCATAGGCTATTAATGAAATTCTGTCTTCTCAGCCTTCAAAATACATTTCAAATCGGACCAATTCTCACTCTCAGTTCTAGTC